TCAAAAACTTAATCGTTGACAATACAATTTCGAAAACCGTCAACTGTTGACATATTTCATATTTCTTTCATATTCTGTTCATATTTATGTTCACTTCTTGTATATATTCTCTTTATATTCTTTTTCTAGTCTGTCCACTAATTAATTAGCAATCAATTTTCTATTAAATTGCTATATATTCTTCTTGTATATATTTTCTTTAATTTAAATATCTTTAATTGATTTGGGGATCAAAAGTCACTTTTTTGGGGATCAAAACACATTTATTCCGAGAAAAATAATAAAAACAAATTTTTGCTATTGAAAAACACAAATAGATAAAGATAGGAAAAAGATTGAGGATGTGGGCGTCATTTTCAACTCATATCCACATGCGGCGCGGTGCCCACCAGTGTCCGGCATGGGCCAGGTTTTAGATGGTTCCACCCGTGTCGGATACTGGCGCTCACTCCTTTTGTCTTTTTTCATTTCTGTTTGATGCATACACGCAATCTATACTAACATTCTATTTTCGTACGGCTAATATGCACATATACCGAGCAATTTTCTTCTTCTATTTCTCTTGAGAAATTCAAATTCTCGTTTTTTTCCTTTCTTCCTCTCATTTTGTAGTTGAAAATCAGTAGAATGTCCTGGATCTTTTTTCATCATCTATATTTCGCAGATACTGCGTAGTTAACAAATCAAAATTACGTAAAAGAATTTTTCTTATTTGTATTCCTTCTCTTATGTATACACATCGGAAACTCTATCACTATTGACAGACAATGTATTTGCCGTGTATGTTTGTATTATCTCAATGCAGAGAAAACAGTAAAAATAAAACCGAACAGTATATGATACATATCTTCTTGCACTACTAAGTTTTTCCATTCGCCTCGATACAACTTTTAAACGAAAAAGGATTCAGAATAATTTTTGATTTTTGCTCAATAAACAGACAACTGATCCATCCCGACCCGATCCGTGTCGGACACTGGTGCCCACCTGACACTGCGTGGCTCTCACTTTTACGCAACCCTTAGACCCATTGTGTACAGATGCAAGCTCTCACCCACATCCACACCCATTCTTAACTTTAATTTTGGTTTTCTGGGTATTTTAGCAAAATAACCTCATTTGGATTGTTCTCGAAGGCATATTATGTATATAGGGTTTCATTTATGTTCGAATTCGAACTGAACATTTCATGATATATGTATATATGACATTGACTCTTTCAATGAAAACATACTCGTGACAGAGTTGTAAGCGGTCCGAACTGGTTGAACCAGTTAGACCAGTCGATCTCTGCCGGTTTTTACTGGTCTAATTGAATCAGGTTAACCGGCCAGTTTTTACCAGTTTAAAAGTATTTTTCTCGTATTTACAATTTTTTTCGATAAATCATGTTGGGATCAAAGTTAACTTCCCTTATTAGAAGAGTCCCGGTATAATTTTATAGAAACTTTCAATTTTTTGTTTATAATCTATATATATAATGTTCAGTGTCGGGTCAAAGGTCAACGTGAGGGTGGCAGAAATGCTAGAGGGCGCCATAGTCAACGTGAAGATTACTGGCATGATCGGGGGCGCCATAGTCAACGCGAGGGTAACAGAAATGCCAGAGGGTGCCATAGTCAACGGGAGGCTGGCAGAAATGATAGATGGCGCCACGGTCGACGGGATGGGGCTGAGAGCATAGAGGGCGCCACTCTCGACGCGAGGGTATCAGAAATGCCAGAGGGCGCCATAGTCAACGTGAGGATTACTGACATGAAATACCAAAAAAAGTTGTGGAAAATGATCTAGATTTCTCAGGCTACTAAAATTGAAATCAGGTTTAGTTACATTTAAAGTGATAGACCCAGTTTTAGTAAGGGTGTTGTTATTAGATCACTTTTTTTTAACGATGCTAAATGCCTTCTCTTCAAGTTTTGTATCTGATTAAATCAAAAGTCGTTTCTCATGAACCTTTGGATTTAGATAGAGCTCGACATGCTCTACAAAAATGGCAGCGAGACCTTTGCTTGTTTTCCGAACAAAAACCGTGAAAAAATCTTTTTCCTCAAAAAACCCCTTTTTGCTTGAATTTTGTTAAAGTGTTGTTATTAAGGTAAAAAAAATTAGCTGACTGTTGTTATTAGGAAAACTGCCCATAATAACAACAGAAGCAGTTCATTATCATAGACCGCTGATTTCTCTGCCACTTCATTTCAGAGAAAGGTGGTTGTTACAGGAGGAGATTCCCAGGATTATGCATATGTAAAAATATTTTCAATCGAGTGTAAAATAACTGAGAATCAAATCAATTAAGACAAGGTATTTTTTTAGTGTTGTTATTACGGACATTGACTCTAGTACTAACTTATCAGTTATTTCCAGCATAAAGTTACCTTTTCTTCCCTGGTTATATTATGTGGAGCTTGGTAAGCAAATCGGAGTACTTTATTGTAGAGTCCTGCTACCCAGTCAGGTACCCGGACCCACCCGGCACCCGAACCGATCCGGCGCATGGGTCCGGATACAAACTTTACAGGTCGGTTTGGGTCCGGGTACAAACTCGCTGGGTCGGTTCGGGTCTGGGTTAGATCTCACATCCGGCGATACCCGGCAGTTAGTAATATCTTAATGTTACACGATACTTCTAAATTTGCCAAACTGTTATTCATAGATAGGAATCTTTTTTTGGTGATGTTGTTAAGTTTCCTATAATCTACACAAAATCTAGTTGACCCGTCTTTCTTCTTGATCAAGACAACTGGAGACACCCATGGTGAGGTTGAACGTCTAATGAGATAATTCTTTTCCATCTGTCGAATGTGTTCTGCTAATATTTGTTGTTGTTGAATAATTTTTGAATATGGCCTCGAACTAATCGGATTATGATCACCCGTGCGAATTACATGTCGAATCTGTGCATTTGCGATTGTCATTTTGGATAAATTAAATAATGTTCGATGTTTCAATAACATCGGATATACTTCTTGTTGTTTTTGTTCATCTAAATGGCTGATCAATTTATGTATGGTATTATCAATATCACTCGATGTTGGTGATTGCTGAGTTCTGCTATCATTGTGTTGAATATCCAAGCATGAGTGTCGTTTTGATGGTGATGATGAAGTTAATGCAAAACATTGCACACTAG